CAATGAGGGTGTGGCCAGCCTGGGTGAGGGGCTGATGGCTGTTTTCAGACTGGCCAACCCCCCCAGCAGGGACCCTCATCCAATGAAGGTGTGGCCAGCCTGGGTGAGGGGCTGATGGCTGTTTGCAGGCTGGCCACAGCCCCCAGCCACCCAAGCTCCCAGTGGAGGCTGGCTGGAAGCAGGTATCTGGGATTTATTTGTCTTCTATAATTGAAACTTTGTTGACATGAGCAGAGGCCACAGCCGCCTCAAGGCAGGCGGGAAGCTTGGCTTCCTCCATCGCCCAGGCAACCAAGCCTCCTGCTTGCTCCAGCTCTGTGGCTTCCGGCCGCCATCTTGGTTGGGTTAATTTGCATATAGTCACTCTGACTGGCTTGGGGCGTAGCGAAGGTATGGTCAATTAGCATCTTTGTCTTTTATTAGTGTAGATACTCAACATTACAGTAACATTGAAGATTTAATAGTTTTTTACGGATGAACACTAGACAAAGCAGCATACATAACATATTTGACAGCACATTTTTGCATCTTAGAGGATGACAGTACCCTCCACTTTCCTTACTGATATTGATACACATTATTCAACTTTACTAACAAATTGGACAGGAAAAAGAAGTTTTTATTCTAAATATATCAGCTATCCACAGGATGCCTTAGACTTAAAATATGAAGTGTTTTACTGTACTCCAATTTAAAAGCATGGGGAAGTGATCAGATACTATTTTTGTCTATTTGTTTTTCATGGTGACATGCACATTCCGTGCCACTGTTGAGTGTATTTGTTCATTCATTTATTCATTCTTCTGCAACATGTTAAGCTTTAAGAGAGAGAACATATCTATTATGCTTACTCAGTTAACTGGTGAAAGATATCCACCTTAAATAAGTTCAAATAAAAAGGGGTGTGCTGAGCCAGCTCAGCCAAGGGTTCAAAAGCCTGAGTGAGGGTGGCAAATGGATGAAGAAATGACAAAGAGAATAAGCTGGGTCTAGGTGGATCTTCCTGTGCCTGGCTGAGGCCACAGAGAGAGATCCAGAGGCAAGCTGAGCCTTTATTTTATACCCAGAGGTAAACAAGGTAGTGGTCACCATAGTTACAATGTTCTTGTGAGTTTCACTTGTTTTGGCAGCACTTGCTACACCTCCCTCAGCCCATTAGCTACCCAGATAAGATCTAGGGAGCTTCACAAGGTCAAGCCTAATTATGCTAAGAGGGCTGTGCCCTCTAAGCTGGGACTTGTTTGTGGCTTTGCCAACAGGTCAATCCGAGGCTTAACCCTATAACCGCGCCCTACAAAGGGGAATTTATTTATTCACATAATTTCCAGTCTGGGATTAAGACACTGATGTGGTAGGATTGAGTGCTCAAAAGAAGATAAAGTCTCATCAGTACTCAACTCTACTTTCCTCTGTATTGGTTTCTTTCTCAAGCAGGCTCCCCTCTAAGTGATCATAAAGATATTTCTCAGCAGCAATGAATTTTTTATTATTCTATAGATAGAATCCCAACAGAATGAGAATACGCTTTTCCCAGTAATTCACAAAGGTCCTGGGAAGCAATCTGATTTGCTTTGCTAGGGTCACATGTCTACTCCTGATCCAATCACCTTGGTCCAGAAGAACAAAATAGCTTACTGGTCAGGCCTGACACTTGTATATATTCCAGGAGCTGATGATAAAGTCAGCCCATCATAAATAACTACATGGACCAAGCAGGAGAGAGATGTGGTTCCTTGTGAAGAAATTAGACTGAAAAAAAATAATGCTGAGAAGTGTGCTCCCATTCTCTTTCACATCTTTGATTATGTTCAGTCATATTAGTTATCATAGTTTATCATAGTCTAACAGCAGTAAAATCCAAAATCAAATTGTCTCACTTCCTTCAAGTTCAAGTTTAAAGGAAGTAAAATCCTTTGACTTATTGGTGTGCTCATTCTCAGCTGTACAAATTGTTCCAAAAGCACCTATGATCTGAGGTATCTCTCATAGGAATTGGGGTAGTTATCCCAGGCAAAACCTTATTCCTAGAGTAGTTTTATTTTTTGTTTTGTTTTATTGTTTTGTTTTTTAAAAAATACATTTTTATTGATTTCAGAGAAAAAGAGAGAGGGAGAGATAGAAACATTAATGATGAGAATCATTGATCGACTGCCTCCTGCATGCCCCCTACTGGGGATTGAGCCCACAACCTGGGCATGTGCCCTTGACCAGAATCAAACCCAGGACCCTTCAGTCCACAGGCCAACATTCTATCCACTGAGCCAAACCAGCTAGGGCCCTACAGTAATTTTTGTTGAGATTTGGTGATATCCAAAATACAAAGGGGAGGTGGATCATTCTTACCAAGATGCCAGGAAGTCTATGTGATTGTCCAGACTATGAACCTAAACACAATTAGGAGCTGTCTTTGCACAGGAAATTAATTTGGACACAGTGCATTTGATTAATTTAGACACAATCAGGAGGTGGAGCCTCTTACATAAACTGTCTCCTTTCTTACAGAATCAATTTAAGACATTGCTGCTTCCTGGCAAAGTTATACATTTGCCACAAGCACAACTCAATCACCAACTCTTATCTGACATTTCTTTCTTTCTCATCCTGCAAATCCCAATAGATTCCAGGTTCTCCTTAGAGTGTGTTCTCAGCACTTTCATGCTGTCCTGATGGTGAGTTTTATCTAGTGAAAGAACCTCCACAGTGTTGTGGGGCAGACTGTCGCTTCTTTAGTCCCATATTTTAGTGGCTGCCACCACTACCCTTATTGAGGACTTGTTCATGCCTAAGACACTTGCTCCTAAAGAAAGTTGTTGCATTTTCTCACCGTTATTTCAGCTAGAAGAGCTCCCTTTTCAGATTCCCAGACTGACGCTGCTGAGGATGCTTCTTATTGCTGTGCCCTATGGGCCTAGGGAAGACCAGTACCTCCGGCCTGGCGTTATTTATAACACCATTATTCCTGGCTCTCTTCTATTTTTGAACTCTGCAGAGTTCTCAGACATGTTCCCTCAGGGCACTGGGAATATCTATTTGCTTACTTTCTGTATTACCTTGAAACTCAGAAAACACTTTAATATTTTTGCTTTAGAAAAATCTGAAATGTAAAGCTTTTTTTAATTAAAGTATAGTTGACACATAATATTATATTAGTTTCATGTGTACAACATAGTGACATTTATTGCGAAGTGATCACCACAAAAAGTCTACTATCCATTTGTCACCGTACAAAGTTATTGCGATATTGGAATATGTAGTCACAAAAATTGAAGATTTGTTGTCTCCTTTCCAGTAATACCCAGATTTTTTTTAAGTATTCACATCTCCTCCACAAAGTCCTTGTGTTTTCAGGAATTTAGTCCTGCTCCTAACTCTGGGAATGGTCCAGTTTGGTTTAAGCCAAGCTGTATAGTCCATTCCTGCAGCAAAAAATCACTTGCGGGTGAATGACCTAAGCTAGCCCAGTTAGGAGAATCTCTGGGCTTGCTAAACTAGACGAAAGCACTCTTTCTCCCTCTACTGGTCATGGAAAAGAAGTTCATGTGGCTGGCAGCCTTCCTACAACCAACGTAAGAGAAGTACATGTCAGAACGTGTTCGACAAATAATTGTTGTCTTTACCAAAGTATCACCTTGGAGGATTATATACTTATTCTAACGAATAATTGGCCAACAAATTGAGGAATTCCTATTTGAAAATAGAGTTTCCAGTGTATAGCACATTCTTTTAGGTATATATACCTCACTGGTAGAAAAGCACTGCTCTTTGAGGGTAGCTTTTATTTTTATTTAAAAAAACTATGAGTTACTCAGAATCAAGAGTAAATAGGTGATCAGTTGAGTAATAGTATTTATGGCTTTTTTAAAAAAGGAAAATATTTCACTTTCAAGTGGCTTCCTGTGGCTAAAACATTAGTCCCAAAGGCATCATATCTTTTTGAACAAGTATAACCACTTATATTTATTGTGAGAAGAAAACATCTTCACTTCTTAGTTGCACCTTATTGAACTCTTGCTTTTCTCTGACATTTTAAAATATTTAGACCTACTGAGATTTCAAAATAGCTCATCCTTAACAAAAAGTTTTAGCACCTGAACATTCTTTCTTAAAGGCTAAAACCCCAAGTTTACTTTGTCAAATAGCCCAGGCAACCATGAACACTGCCATATTAACACCTGCATATGACATCATAGAGTCAAATACAGTAAAGGGGATGTTTAGAAGTTGAACGTAAATTTTGCTTAGTCTGGTAAGAAGTTGAATGTAAATTTTGCTTAGTCTGGTACTCTCAGCCAACCAAATAGGACATGAGGCCAAATGGCTCCCTATCTGTGTGGCCTCCTACATAGCTTGGATGCATCTGAAGTTCCTATAACTGTTACCACTTCCTCTTAACTCTCAAAACCCCTTATCATTCATTCTAACAAATGGGTGCATGTGAAAAATGTATCTGCAAAGGCACTAGATAGCAGGACCCAGATAGATATAATAAAGCTTGGCAAGAATCATTTAATCTATCAGTTCTCCAAGAAGTTCTGTGCCCCTACCAATCTAGACACCAAATCAGTTCTATTTTCAAGAAATACCTTTAGTTAAGGAGTTTTCCAGTCCCTTAATCTACTTAACAAATAATCTTATGATATCTTTAAGACCGTGATACGAATGATATAGTACAGATCTCATCACTATCTCTTTTGAGTAAGGATGACTCCTTTGAGGCTTACTTGAGGTAGAACATGAGAAGGTAAGATTTCTTTAATAGCCTGACTAGCTTTTTTACAACTTTACTTATAATATTTTGCAGAGGAGGAAATAATTAAGTGGAGACTTTCATTGGGGGCTTGAATTTCCTAATCCAAAGTAGAAAATGGTAAATGATCTTTTATAACATCTGTCTTCAGAGATGTTCTAAGAACAGCCACCCTGTTTGTCTTCATGAGACAATTGTGATGTTGAGGAAGATGCATTTTCATTTTTTAAAGAACAGCTTTATTGAGATATAATTGATATACAAGAAATCTGGACATATTTAATATATACTTTTTTTTTTAGTTTGGAGACATGCGTTTATATGCAAATAAAGATTTGCAAGTGCCCAGTGCAGATACAGTTTTTCTCCTTTAGTAAACAAAGTGATGAGAACAATTTTAAGAGGCTTTGCCATATTTTAAGATGATTTAATTACCTAAGTGCAAATAAAATAAATGTTATAGGTCCAAATTAATTAAAAAGTTATTGAAAAGGAGTCCCTCCTTTTAATTAAAAAAAATGCTTTTGTATGGATGTAAACAAGAGGCACGATATAAATGTAATTAGTTGCACAAAAGTGCTTAGTTTATTAATATGAGAAGCAGAAGGATCATCTACCAAACTACATGATATTGAGTCATCAAAACACAAGCCACTTGCCCTGGCCAGTGTGACTTGGTTGGAGTGTCATCCCATACATCAGAAAGATCGAAGGTTCAATTCCTGGTCAGGGCACATACCCAGGTTGCAAGATCCATCCCTGGTCAGGGTGCATATGGGAGGCAAATGATTGATGTTTCTCTCTCACTTCGATGTATCTCTCTCTCTCCCTTCCTCTCACTCTAAAATCAATGAAAACATATTTAAAACACACACACAAGCCACTTTGTCAATTATGTCAGCACTCAAATTTGTCCAGTTAAAATCTAATACCTCTTGAAAAAGAGAAATACACTGAAAGGAGATGCAAGGAGCTTAAGAGTGCTATCATGATTCCTGACAGCAAGGATAAAGTCCACAGCCATGATTGTGGGGAACTGAGTCACATGGAAATATGGAAACTTGAAAAGGAGATTAGATGTGAGCAGGGCCATCACAGGGGTGAAAATGAAGAAATCTGAGAAAAACAATTATGAAATGAATGTGTGCATGTAGAAAATATATTTGCAGAGGCACTAGCTAGCAGGCTCCAGATCTAAATCCAAGTACCCAATTAAAAAAATAAGACTAGAAATCTGAAACTTAAGGCTACAAGCCTAACATCTAGACATTCCCTTCTTTGTTCATCACCTTCACTTTCTCTTAAGCCTATTGAGCAGAAGGTCAGTAACAGCAAATGTACTCTTTCCTCTCTTGGTTTAAATGTTAAAGGGGATGTGGAGGGGCTGTGGGTTCAGCTGAGATTATATTTGGAAGAGCTTATTGAAGCAGGGTGGACAATAGGTCTTGCCATTCTGTTCCCTAAAGATTCCTTTCGACAACTGCGTCAGGCAGAAAGCACAGACGAAGTGCTCAGGATGGAACTTGTGGCCCATGGCACTGATGCAGCGGCCGGTGATGGGCTGCTCACACCCATAGCAGAGTGTTCCTCGGCGATGATGGTAATGGAGCTCGCAGAATGGACGTCCATCTAGTTCAAAGAAGGAGCCAGTGGAGAAACTGCTGAAGCAGTCCTGGGGGTGGAGAGAAGAGAAAGGAAAGGAAGGCAGATGTCAGGAATAAAACATCAGCAAAGTAAAACTTTCAGCCTAGAAATTCCTGCCAGTTACCTGCCCGTAAGTAGCAGGAATTCACTTGGGTCCTTGACAAATGAAGGCTAGAATATGGCCCACTTGCAAAACGGAAAGCAAATGCCACAACAAATGCTGTGTTTCGTGTCTCCTTTAGGAAGCCCACATCAATCCCTCATCCCAAGCTCTGAACCCTCTTAGCAGCTCTGCCTCTCAGAGAGGAGAACCCCTGACTTTCCTTAAATCCAAAAAAATAACTGAGTGTACAAACCCCACAAACAAAGCACTCTGGGTGCCAGACTGTGTCCATGGCTGAAAGGTAGTTTTCCAACACCGGGCGGTTGCAGCCCCCACACTTGGGTGAGAACATGGCTAAGAAATCCTTTCGGCAATATGGTTTCTTGTCCTTCTCGTGAAAACCTAGGGGGAGAAAAATCAAGGGTTCATTGTTGCAGTTTGAGACTGGAAGCCAAGCTGGAGGTTGAAAAGAGGCCAATGATTTTAAACTCTCCCAAACTTGGTGCCTTTGTATTCAGAATGGAGCTAATAACAAATACCTACCTCAAAGGGACATTCTGAAAAATACAGTGATAATGCCGGTAAAGTGTTTTAGTATTGTTCCTGAGTCATAGTGAGCACTTAACAATGTTAAGGGCTATTGCTTCTTGATTCCTGAGTATTAACTATTCAGATAGCCTTGACAGTTCTGCCCCAGGTCTCGATATGGCTAGCCTCACCTTGTCATTCATAAATCAGCTAAAATATCATCTTATCGAAGAGGCATTTCTCCAGCCTAAATCTATCACTTGGTATTTTTCATTGCCTTTATTTACCATTATCTAAAATCATCTTTGTGGTCTGTCTTTCCTATTGGAACATTAGCTCTGAGAGAAACTAGATTTTGTTGGTCTTGTCACACTGAATCTCCAGTATCTAAAATGGCACTTGGAAAAAACCTGCCTCATATTTAAAAATAAAGAAATATGAAATAATAATTTCCAAATGGATGTAAGATCTAAATGTAATAACTCAAACCATACAAATATTTGAATTAAAAATGGATGTATTCTTCTCTAATCTGGGAATGAAATAAGAACTGTCATAAAATGTCTCAAATTTCAAAAGCAAGTTAAATAATAAATTTAGCTACATTAAAAATATATATTAATGACTTATGCATGACCAAAAAACACTGTAGGCAAAGCTAAGAGAAAGGACAAAGGAAAAGATTTGTTAATTATATCTCAGAGAAATATAATGAATACAAAGGTCCCTAAATAATTATATGGTTTAGGCCAACTGGTGTGGCTCAGTGGTTGAGCATTGAGCCAGGAATTAAGAGGCCACCGGTTCCATTCTGAGTCAGGGCACATTCCCGGGTTGCAGGCTCAGTCCCCTCTGGGGGGACATGCAGGAGGCAACTGGTTGGTGATATTTCTCTTATTGATATTTCTATCTCTCTGTCCTTCTCCCTTCCTCTCTCAAATATATGTTTAAAAATAATAATTATATGGTTTCAATTATTGTTTTATAAAATTTATCCCTAAAAATTGAATCAAGTGGAAACAAATTAAACTACATAACAAATTGGTGATATGACCAAGGAAAGGCAATAATTCATTCTAGTGTTCTTAAAACATAGTATTTTGACTGTACAGTCCTACTGGATGAATTCTAAAGACAAAAAGAACTACAAAGAAATCTCAATACACCCTGACCTTGACCTCTTTGTGGGACCTGATAGTGTTGGCTGAACCCAAATATCATAAGCCAATATCTCTGCAAATATGAAAGCTCCACTTGTACCTACTAAAAGAGTGTGAAAGTAAAGCATACTCAGTGGATTGGAAAGTAGCCCACAAAGAACACCATTTCTAGAAATCTATTTTGATAGTAGCAGCCAAATGAAAAAAGAAAAAAGGCAATGGGACCCAAATCAGGTGGCTGTAATCTTCCCATGATCTCCAGTCACTGTTTGATACGCCTTGCCTTGTTCAATGATGCTGTCGTGGAAAAGAAAATAGTTTAACAGACTTCTGAGGCCTATAGATCTAACATTCTAAACTAATAATTGTGTTCTTTTCTCTGAGACAGAGATGAGCTCGCTTACTTTTTTTTCACTTTACCAAAGAATTTCTAGAGTCTGATCAAGTGCAACTGACTGTGGGCAAGCCTAGTGTTTAAGAAAAACAAATCAACATGTACAACCCCTTCCTTGCTTTTGTGTGCCCCAATATTTCTTATACATTCTTGTGCATCCATCACATGGTGAGATTACCTGCTGGGCCCCACCCCAGAGTTTCTGATTCAGTAGGTCTGGGATGGGGCCTGAGAATTTTTATTTCAGACAAGTCCTCAGGCGATGAAATGACCTAAAACTGAGCTTGCCTGTAGGAATGACCCTCATCTAGGCATTTGTAGGGTAGCTGGTCATAAGAATGAGATAGCAGGGAAGTAACAGCCTCTGTGTGAACTCAGGTGAGTCTCAGGAGAGGAATCAAAAGCAATAAGCCAAACTTGCTGTGATGCCCCTTGCATATGTTATGCAATAAATTGAGAAAGTTTCAGCACCTACTTGCCTGGAGGCTCTCTCTGGGGCCAATTACCTCTGGAGGATGGATGAGAAACTCTAACAATTAAAAGTGCCACACTCTGGTGCGGCTCTTATCCACCAGGGAAATTAGGGAGCACCTGCATGGCCTGGATAATGAACAATTAAAAAGAAGGTAGGCAATGAGGACCTGGTCCCTATGGGAGGGTGTTAAAGCCTGATGTGCTTAGAAACTTGAGGCTTAAAGAGGAATTCCCTGAACTGAAACAAAAAAATGCAGATGAATTTAATTTCCCAGGAGGCTCAAGGGTTTAGCTGTCATTATAGAAACTCTGTGTGTGACTTGGGTAAGGCAGGATGCTACCTAATTAATAGACTAACCCTATAGTGGGAGACCCATTTACAGAAAGCAAAGAATAAAAACAAAAATGCTACTCAAGAGGAGCTTCTGATTAGTAAATGGCCTTTTTAATCAGTTGTCTAAATAAATATAGCTTATGTGTGGCTTCATATTTATGTGAAATTATAAATAACCTAACCTGCCTGTCAGTTTAGAAGAGGCCCAAATCAAAAGCAATGATGCTTCCTGGTCATCCTATGAATAGGATATTTTCCTTTTGTGTCTAACTTACATTTCTTCTTGAAATACATCTTTATCCTCTTGTTCTATTCTTAGGCAACGTCCACATCATAATTATCTCGGGGTTATATTCTTATTTACTATTTACTCAACTCTTAGACTTCTATGGCTACTGGTGCAATATAAATTTACCATGACACATTTCAATATGCTTTAGATTTTAAATCCCAATGAAAAATATGCTTACCTAAAGTGCAATTTAGAAATGAAAGACCTAATGATTTGTGAAAAGCATTGAACAAGCTTCAGTGAACACGCAAATTACTACAAAGCACTTAGCTAGTGGATTATATCAGTGCTACTCAATCCAGGTCTACTTTCAAATAAAGTGCATCATGTCGGTGCCAAGAAAGTACAAAGTTCCAACAGAAGAAGAGGAATTGAGACTCCGTCATAGGGCACTTAGGATGTTGTAGAAACACAAACAAATATGAAACTTGCTAAAATAAGACCTTAATTTAAATTCCAACTCTTTGACTTTAAGAAAATCACTTTTCCTTTCTGAGGTTCAGTGTTTTTATCTATAACTAGATATAATGCGAAATAAAATTAGTCTTACACAGTTGTGGATGGGATTAAATGAATGGTAATTAGAAATATACATAATAACAGGCCTGACAATAGAGTCCACATTGGTGAGGGCAAGACACGTAGGGTTATCTTCACTTCCGCTTGAAACATCACTGACATGATAGTTAAAGAATAATCTAAAATAGAAAGACCCAGGGGAAAAGGAGAAAAGGAAAAGAGATGCCACAGATGAGATATCAATAAAATTTTCAAAAATTTAAAGTAGGCACAAGTGTGACAACTAGCTTGGCAAAAACAAGAACACTGAAACCACTACACCTCCAGAGAGAGGAGGTGCCAATAAAACTTAAGCCATCTGGAGCTCCATAACATCAGAGGGGCTCAGGAACTGAATGCATAAAATAGTCTCAAGACTGAGAATAGGATTGGTTGCAATTCTGAGGAGCTGTTAGAAGATCAGATTCCCCACCCTACCATAAGATACAGTAATTAATTCTGGAGATATCAAATCAGAGCTACTGGGCACCATGAGGAAAGAAGTAGCTTTCTACTGAAAAAAAATAAAAGGAATTACATACAAGTTGACATTCTGAATGGTGAAACCTCATTTTCTAATCCTTTAAAAAATTTTTCAGAAGGCTGGGAGAGAGAGCATCTCTTGAATTGATTCAAGATTAAAGGCCTAGCCCTAAGTGTCAGCCCTCAGACTGAAGGGTTCCAGGTTTGATTCAAGTCAAGGGCCTGTTCCTTGGTTGCAGGTTCCCCAGTCCTGTTCAGGGTGCGTGCAGGAGGCAACCAATGGATGTATCTCTTTCACATCGATGTCTCTCCCTTCTACTCCCTCTAAAAATATCCTCAGGTGAGGATTAACAACAATAGCAAAAAGATTAAAGGCCTAAAATATTAATATTCAGGAGTCTCCCAGCAAAATGGCCAGAGCATCCTACCTAAGTACCACACAGTTGAGTCCAACAGTCTACACATTCTGCCTATATCCCAATTAGCATTTTAATGTCTCATTCTTAAATAGGAAATGGGCAACCAAAGATCAGCAGGATTTGTCCAAGACCAATATAACAAGATGGAAGGCACTGAGATGTCATAGATACCATTCCAAATTGAGCTACAAGACATTCCTCAAAGAAAATAGCCATGGTCTATTCCAGGGGTCCTCAAACTTTTTAAACAGGGGGCCAGTTCACTGTCCCTCAGACCGTTGGAGGGCCGGACTATAGTTTAAAAAAAAACTATGAACAAATTCCTATGCACACTGCACATATCTTATTTTGAAGTAAAAAAACAAAATGGGAACAAATACAATATTTGTATTTGCATGTGGCCCGCGGACCGTAGTTTGAGGACCCCTGGTCTATTCTCGTGATTCTGGAACTCCTCACTCACGCTGAGGATGCAAAACAGGTAAAGAGGAAGGGAAATTCAGAGAGGGAATTCAGAGAAGGGAAATTCTTTGGAGAAAATTGTGCTATGGGTACTCCACCCCTGTCAAGAGAGATGAGGCATGGCTCTTGCTAACTCAAGTCAAGAGAGGGACTTTAATAGGACCATTCAGAGAGCTGGGTATATGTGTCCTGCCATTAGTGGGGTATTTGACTTATCTCTGGAAAAAGTCCATAGGTGAAAGCCTGGCTGAAAGTACAGCAGTTAAAAAGAGAGATGCACATGAAAATTAATTTCAATCCCATTGACTGTAAGAGAATGGTACAAGTTTCCTGTGATCCATATATGCAAATGTGAGTGAAAGAGATGATCCAGAACCATTATAATAATTTCTAAGAGATCAGCAGGAGGAAATAATGTAAACCCTGCAAAAATGAATCTGTGTGGAATGGATCCTCAAAGAAATGTGCCAAGGGAGAACCAAGATAAGTGAAGGGCAATTAAGAGCTTACAATTGGGGGGCCCAAGTCCTCCTGAGTTTACAATTGGTCCAGTACTAAATCCACAAAAAGATCCAAGAGAAAAAAAAGCCAGAGTTAAACATCTGCCAGGCCCAGATAGCATAAAGAAGAGTTATAACAATACTAGACAAATTAAATTTTTCTGCCCTCCAGTCTCAACTCCTTCCATCTCTGTTTCAACTCTGGAGGGATCAGATATCAAGAGCATTATGCGAAGCCAAATAAATCGAATGGAAAAGGATAAGAACCATATGATTTTACTTATATGTGGGATATAAAACAGAAAGCAACAAGCAAATAAAAAAAATCCTCATAGAAAACAGGATGGTGGTTATCAGATGGTAGGGGTTTGGGGGGAGGATGAGGAGGGTAAAGGGAGTCAAATATATGGTGATAGGAGACTAGACTTTGGGTGGTGAGTACACAGTGCAATATATAGATGATGTGTTGTAGAATTGTAGACTTGAAATATATAATTTTATTAACAAATGTCACCTCAATAAATTTATTACAAACTTTTTAAAGAAAAGAGAAATCAGAAAAGACATGGGACTGCCCAACTTTTTATTTTGGAGAGAGGACAAAACGTTCCCCATGGAATTAATTCCAAAAAGACAGGAAAAGACAAATAAAGAAGCTTTCTGAATCCATGCATGAGTTGTATTTGTTCAAAACAAACATAAAAAGAAGTCAGGAAAAAAATCAAGACAATTCAGAAAACAGAAGGAAAAAGAAACACACAAAGAGGGGAAAACAGATAATATAGAAAGGGTCAGGAATAAGAACAAAATCTTAGGCAGCAAAATCTCAGACATCTCCCAAAGCAATATGTTTACAGATACATCTCCTAGGGCAAAGGGAACTAAGGATAAAATAAACAAATGGGACTACATCAAAATATAAAGCTTCTGTACAGCAAAAGAAACCAACAAAATGAAAAGGGAGCCCACTGTATGGGAGAACATACTCAGCAATGATACATCTGATAAAGGGTTAATATGCAAAATATATAAGGAACTTATACAACTTAACAAAAGGAAGATAAACAATGCAATTTAAAAATTGACAAAGGACCTAAATAAACACTTTTCCAAAGTGGACATTCAGATGGCCAAGAGACATAGGAAAAAATGCTCAGTCACTGATCATCAGAGAGATGCAAATTAAAATGACAATAAGGTATCACCTCACACCTGTCAAATGGCTACCATCAACAAATCAACAAATGACAAGTGCTGGCGAGGATGTGGAGAAAAGGGAATCCTAGCACACTGCTGACAGGAATGCAGAATGGTGCAGCTATTATGGAGAACAGTACGGAGTTTCCTCAAAAAATTAAATATGGAACTGCCATTTGACCCAGTGATCCCACACTGGGTGTTTCTAGGAATATATCCTAAGAAACCTGAAACACCAGTCAGAAAGAATGTTGCACACCCCTATGTCCATATCTGAGATCTGGAAACAGCCCAAATGCCCATAAATAGATGGGTAGATAAAAAAGCCATGGTACATTTGCAACATGGAATACTATGCAGCAGTAAAGAAGAGAGACCTTTTTTTTTTTTTTTCAGAGAGGAAGGGAGAGGGAGAAATATCAATGATGAGAGAGAATCACCAATCAGCCACCCCCTGCATGCCCCCCACTAGGGATCAAGGCCACAACCCAGGCATGTGCTCCCAACCGGAATCGAACCCAAGATTCTTCAGTCTGCAGGCCAACGCTCTATCCACTGAGTCAAACTGGCCAGGGAAGAAGAGGGATCTTTTACTCTTGGAGACAGAATGGAGGGAGCTGGAGAGTATTATGCTAAGTGAAATAAGCCAGTTAGAGAAAGACAAGTATCACATTATCTCACTCATATGTGGAATCTAGTGAACAAAATAAACTGATGAACAAAATAGATCCAGAGACATAGAAACATGGAACAGACTGTGGCATCTCAGAGGGAAGGCAGGGGGAGGGTGGGTAGGTGGGAAGAGATCAACCAAAGAACTTGTATGCATAAATGCATAACCCATGGACACAGACAATAGGGTGGGGAAGGCCTAGGGCAGGGGTGGGGGTGGGCTAGAAGAGGTCAATAGGGGAAAAAGGAGATATATGTAATACTTTCAACAATAAAGATTTAAAAAAAATAATAAGAAAACAAAACAAAAAAACTTCCCAACTATGGAAACTGGAAGACAGTGAAGCAAACAAAGTCTTCAGAAGTATGAGGGAAAATAGGTTCCACCTAGAATTGTCTGCCCAGGCAACTGAAGGTAGACAACAGAACAAAAATATTTTCAGATATTCAAGGTCTCGAAAGTTTTACCTGTTCTCAAGAGCTACTACAGGATGTGCTCTATTAAAATAAAGACAGTAACATGTATTAAAAGACTTGAGATCCAAGAAACAGAGGATCCAAAGAGGAAAACAGTAAAAGGAATTCCCAAGATAATGACCCAGAATAACTGCTTCTCAACAGGCCTCAGGTTGGAGCAGGAATATGGGCGTCTCTGGGACAGATGTCTATGAGAAAGAACAAATGGAACTGACCTATCATCACATGAGGTTGACCACTTTGAGAAGGATTTCACAGTTCTGTCAGACAAATTAGTGGTAAGTATAATGAAAATTAAGCTAATGAAAAAAGGATACAAACTTCAGGGGAAAAAATATACAAAAGGGCTCCATGTGCCAGACACTGTTTTAAACACTAATCATGACTCTTAAAATCCTCATGATGATCCTAGAAGGTAGGCATTATTAGGCCCATTTTACTGATAAGGGAAGTGAGATACAGAGAGGTTAAATGACTGGAACAACATCACCTAGTAAATAAATGTCACAGCCCAGATTTAAACCAGGTAGTCTGACTCCAAAAGCCGGGCTCTACTGTAATCACAGTTTGCTACCCAGGCTCAACTGTGAGCAATATTTACATGATTATCTACCAGTACACACTGAATATTGATCTGACCTGTAACTATGACCTAATTATAAACTGAGAAAAATGTGGAAGGGGAAATATGTTGGGGGTGAAAATATGGCATCCCTAAATATGGTGGGATAGTAATAACATTTCTAAATCCTCATTCTCTCTGATAGAAAGTGATTACATAATCATTAAAATTTGGGGGAAAATAAATTTATAGTAATGTGTCACTTAAAAAAAAGTAAATAACAAAAGAAAAAGCTAAAAAATCAAGAGAGAAGTAGGGTTGGGGTGGAGAAAGGAGGAGCAAGGGACTATTCACTTTCAATATCACCCTTGAAGTAATGTTTGAGTTTTTAAACTATGCAATCATATTTCTTTGATTAAAATAATTCAATTTTAACAAAATCTATAAATGTTGGGAAAAGGTAGGGAAGGATGGCATGTGGTACTGAAATGGGCACTTGGGTGGTAGAGGCAGAATCCCGGACAACCAGGACAGATCAAGGTGCCCCAGGCCATACCTTCTGCACCAAACACCTCTCCACAGTGAGAGCAGAAGAAGTGCTCTGGGTGCCAGGTTTGGTTCATTGCTGTCAGCACTCTCTGGAAAAGGAACACACAGAGAGATATCAGAATGCCTCAGAACTGTAAAACATGACCCTGGTTCTAAAGGAGTGAGGAAAAGCTACAGGAAAGCAGGGGGAGAGGGGTTTACTTACATCCAGGATGGGAGCAGCACAGTAAGCACAGCGTGGCGAAAACAGATGGTGGTAGTCCTTGGGGCAGTAGGCCAAACCACTGCGCTCAAAGAAGGGACTGGAGCCAATCTCTTGTTTGCAGTGACTACAGATGAAGTGCTCTGGATGCCAGGCTTGCCCTAGAGCATGGATCACCTGGAGGAGGAAATAAAGCCTGGTGTGAGAGCCCAGTAGGGTGCTCTAGGGCCTGCAGGTTGCACGTCATGGTGGGCACTCTTCACACAGTTTTCTGAGTAAATGACACCCTCTGGAGTTACACAACACTAAGGCCTAGACCAGTGATGGCGAACCTTTGGAGCTCGGCATGTCAGCATTTTGAAAAACCTTAACTTAACTCTGGTGCCGTGTCACATATAGAAATTTTTTGATATTTGCAACCATAGTAAAACAAAGACTTATATTTTTGATATTTATTTTATATATTTAAATGCCATTTAACAGAAAAATCAACCAAAAAAATGAGTTCGCGTGTCAGCTCTGACATGCGTGTCATAGGTTCGCCATCACTGGCCTAGACCTATGTGGTCTGTTGCCCATGCTTTATGGAGAGAAAAAAAGTGCCCGCTTTCTTGACTGCTCACCCTGATAAAAGCCTGTAAATGTTTGTTACCACTATACTGCCCCAGATGGTATAAGAAACAAAATAGAGCACAGTAGTGATAGACAGCAGATAACTACAGCCTTGGTGTGGCAGGGATCCCTAGAAGAGTAAAAGGTCAAAAGACAGTTTTTATTCCTCTGGTTTGAACATCTCATCTCACACCCCATGCAGAGTTGGGTCTCAAAACCCTGTTATGGTTTTAGTGGAGTATGATGCGGAGCAGGAGTTAGTGGCCATGATTTGGAGCTGAATGCAACTGAAAATTGTATGCAATAAATTTAAATAGGAATGTTTGCACAGAGGGAACAGTGAGAAAGTTCATTTCAGTACAGGCAGTACAGAAAGGTTAAGAGCTTAAACTCAAATTAAAAGCTTTGACTTTCCTGGGTTCAAATCCTAGCTTTACCTCTTACTAGACCTTGGACCTGAGCCCTCAGTTTCTGCTGGGGTTCTTGTTCCAGCATTAAGAAGTGTTCAGCAATCTGGAGAAGGCTGTATGTAGATTAAATTGGAGTCCAGAGACGAAATATAATTTTGAAAGGCATTTGGGGGTCAGAGGAGCCTAGTTTAAAAGAAACTAAGATCTAAGTTCTAAGTTCTAAGGTGTAAGGTTTAAGGTCTAAGGCAGGGGTCCTCAAACTACAGCCCGCGGGCCACATGCGGCCCGCCGAAAACATTTATCCGGCCTGCCGGGTGTTTTTGCCACCGCTGTGTGCATAGGAATTTGTTCATAGTTTTTTTTTAAACTATAGTCCGGCCCTCCAACGGTCTGAGGGACAGTGAACTGGTCCCCTGTTTAAAAAGTTTGAGGACCCCTGGTCTAAGGTCTAAGGTCTCCTTGTCCCAGGACCCCATGCTTTTTATTAACACAATTTGTACTGAGGTGAGGCAGAGATATATACTTCAAAGGGTATACACTAGCATTGTCAGAATGGGGGAATTAGCCTACGGCTGTTCAGGTGTTTGGCCAGTAGGAGGCAATAACATGTAGATTAAGATGCCCTTTAGCTGTCTGACAGCCAAGCAATTAATTTAATGTATCCTATTCAGGTTTGGGGAAATGCCCTTGCCACTCCAGATGATTTAGCCCTGCTGAACATGCTGGAATTGGTTTCCGGCAAGTTTCCTCATCTTTACAAAGGGAATAATACTAGAGTCTCCCTCAAGGACCAATGTGACCATTAAATGAAGAAATACTTGTAAAGCACTTAGCCCAGAACATTATAAATAATCAGTAATTATTAACTACTAGAGGCCTGGTGTATGGATTCGTGCACTGAGGGGTCCCTCAACCTGGCCTGCGCACTCTCGCAATCCGGAACCCCTCTGGGGATGTCGGACTGCCAGTTTCAACCCGATCCCCACAGGCCAGGCTGAGGGACCCCACTGGTGCATGAATCCATGCACCAGGCCTCTAGTATGCATATAAGATCTTTGGTTAATCTCTTCCTGCCCTCCCCCCTGCCCCTTTCCTTCTGAGATTCATCAGTCTGTACCATGTTTCCATGCCTGTGTGTTGAGCGTTTGCCCCCTGGTGGTCAGTGCACGTCATAGCTACCAGTCGAATGGTCAAACAGTTGCTTAGGCTTTTATATAGAGAGATTATTAAAACTTCTTAGAATATAAGGAGAAATAACAATCTTTGGTGGGACAGAGAGAGACACACACAGAGACATAGATGGCTGTAGGACCAACATCTTGGCCCGTCCCACCTTTCCAGCAATCGATTTCTGGCAGGAAGCACAATGGCCCTTGGGCACTGTGGCAATCCCAAGGTCCTGCAATTCCTGCTCCAATCCCCCCAGCATTGAGTCCAGGGAGACCTTGTGATCCTGCTTGTCTGGCAAGTACTTCTTGCTGGCATCTGCTTTCACTGCCACCTAGTACCAAGGAGAGAACCATGAACAGAGTCAGCCTCATGGAATTCATTCTCAGTGGCATCTTCTTCATGACCCTATAAAATCACCTCTACTGATGGACCTTTAGTCTTTCCTGAACCTTCTTCTAAGGTATGGGAGAATTCAACATTATAACACCAATAAAAATGTTTTCATCTCTTCTTCATTCTAAATTCCTCATGCCGAATGAAATCTGACTAATCTTCCTTCATTTGTAAGTCTTTTCCTGACTATAGGAAATTGAGTGGATGAATATAATTCTGGTTCTTGTGATGACCACAACTCAGCAGTCTTCTTTTTATTCATTTATTCTGCAGTGTTTATTGAGCACCTAGTTTTCCCCAAACCCTGCTCTAGGCTGGCTCTTGGTAGAGACAATGTACAAAAGCAACCAAGTGTCTCTCCTCATAAAGTTTACATCCCTGGGTGACAGACAATAAACAATTAAA